AAAATCACATTCATCTGAGGACTTGTAACTTGTCTACGTCATAACTTGAGTTCTATAAATCCAATCAAGGAATTCTAGTACTCAAAAGAAAGCTAAGAACATGCTCTACAAGTTTCATGTTGGTCAAAAGTTGAGATGAGACTTGTATCTTGAGATAGGTGGTCTTGAAGTTGGGGACTAAACAGGGGATTTTACACTGAGAACCCTAATTTAGTAACTTCTCACACTCTTGATTCTTGACGAAATGATCTTGAAATGATATCTCATGCATCTTAACACAACACTCCATGACCACAAAGACTTGGAATTGAGTCTTAATCTCCTTCAATTTCACAGTTGACTGAGGATTTACCAGATGAAAACCCTAGATGCAACATCCTTGATTGTGGCTTCTTCCACCTCACACAACAACTTGAATAAGCTCCAAATGGCTCTCAAAGCACTCAATGAGCTCTCTCAACATCTTATATCTATTATCATGCATTCACAATCCTCTGATGCTCTTCAACTGGCCTCCAAGTTAGGAGCTGATCCACATGCATCCATCCATCCTTTCACAAGACTATTGACCACTTCAAGATGACCTGATAATCATTCAAACTTGAGTAACACCCCTTGCCTAGGCTTAACACTCTAAGAAGACTTCTCTTGCTATGCACAACCTCTTGATCCCCTGTTCAATGAAACATGTTATGCAATGCAAATGCTAGAACAAAATGAAATGAAACGTAAACCAAGTAAAGAAAAGGTTGAGCAAATTTTTGGGTACAACAGTGTGGTAGCTATAACTTCTCTTGTACAAAACTTCGCAACTTGATAATTATAGATATCTCAATTCTAATTTTAGAATTAAGGGAAGACGTCCCCCAAGCGAGGACTAAAAAAGGAACTACCTAAACAAATCAGGGTGTCGTTCTCTCTTTCTCTATCTCTTTACTTTGTGTTGTTAATGTTTGTGTGATACCAACTGTTCGATAATTTTTTGTTGTAATGTAGTGTTGAAAAACTGTTTTAGAAACTCATTGCAATCACTTTGATTGCAATTGTACAAAATTCAGCATTATCATTTCATATGAAATTGAACTTGGGGTGTTGTGCAAACCAAATGTTCAACATTTTGATCCACACAAACTCTTTGTAAAATTGTCAATTTAATTTTACCGTTATAATTCATTGAAACCGATTAATTCAAAGTGGTCTTAATTTGAATAATTGATTGTGAAAATTGTTAATTCGTTTATCTCATTAATTTCTTTCTGTTTGGCTACGCATATTCGAACTTACCAATAACGGTTCGTTTAGACGATTATAAATTCACGACCGCTTCTGTACATTTTTTAAACAATTTTTAGTGATCTATTTACCCCCCCCCCCCCCTTAATCTCAATTCTAGTTTTAGAATTAGGGGAAGACGTACCCGAAGCGAGGACAAAAAGAGGAACTACCTAAACAAATCAAGGTGTCGTTCTCTCTTTCTCTATCTCTTTACTTTGTGTTGTTAACGTTTGTGTGATACCAACTGGTCGATAATTTTTTGTTGTAATGTAGTGTTGAAAAACTGTTTTAGAAACTCATTGTAATCACTTTGATTGCAATTGTGCAAAATTCAGCATTATCATTTCATATGAAATTGAACTTGGGGTGTTGTGCAAACCAAATGTTCGACATTTTGATCCACACAAACTCTTCGTAAAATTGTCAATTTAATTTTACCGTTATAATTCAAAGTGGTTTTAATTTGAATAATTGATTATGAAAATTGTTAATTCGTTTATCTCACCAATTTCTTTCTGTTTGGCTACGCATATTCGAACTTACCAATAATGGTTCGTTTAGACGATTATAAATTCGCAACCGCTTCTGTACATTTTTTTAACAATTTTTAGTGATCTATTTAAACCCCCCCCCCCCCCCTTCTAGATCATTGTCATCGTCTAACAAAACAGTCCCAAAACAGCAAGAATTTGACAAAAAAATGTCAGGTGTAACCGGCTACCAGAAATGGTGTAACCGGCTACCAGAAATGGTGTAACCGGTTACTCCATGCACAAAGTTATATTTTTGGGCGCAGACAGGGTGGTGTAACCAGTTGCACCAAAATCAGTAATTGGTTACACCTACAAAAACAGAATTTCAAAAAGCACTTTTCAGAATCACTTATTGCATGTAATCACAGTGTAACATAACATGGAAGTAGGTGCAAAATTCATGTCAATTCAGAGCAATCAAGAACTAATAGAATCAAGCATGTAAAACAATTATTCAAGTAACGAAGCATCAATTAAGCACTACGTTGCGAAAACGCGAAATCGATCGAAAGCAATAAATTAAGAGGAATTTACCAACCTACAAGGCTGAGGTTTGCTTTAATAATTGTTGTGATCAAAATGTGATGAAGAGAAGCTTAGAAAACCAGAAAATCCAAAGATCTTTAGCAATCCATAACGAGAAAACCGAGAATAATGCGATAATTACTTCGGATCCGAATTTGCACCAAAATTACTTCAATGATCAACTTTCAAAGCTTGAAATGAAGTAAATGTTGATGTTGCTGCATAATCCAGTAGTGAAATGGAGATGAATGAAGGTTTAACTCAAAGAATAGCAAGCTTCAATGCAAAGCTTACTAAGCTTTAATGGTGAATGAGCTTTTGTGAAATTTAGAGAAGATGAGGATGGTTGAGAGAAAGTGCTACAAAAAATTCAAAGAATGGAGATTGAAAATTCAGAGCAAAATAAGAGAATGAAGATTATGGCAAAAGTCTCATTCATCAATGTGAGGGATTTTCCTATGTAGAGCATAGGCTTGGAGTGAATGGAGGTTTAGAACTTAGTATGGAGGTAGTTAAGTGTGGTTTGTCATTTGGTTTGGAGTTAGTTATAGATCCAACTCACCTGTTGGGGTCTAACTCGGTTAGTTATTAGTTGACTCGATTGGGGAATCCCAATGCAACTCAAAGATCAAATGGTCCAAAATAAAGGTGCACGATGAGCATTATTGATGATGAGGTAGTGTAGCAAATGTAGCTGATATTTTGGCATGTCTAAAACCTTCTACAAGATGCTAGAATGATGTATGCCAAAGGAATGTGACAGAAGTTGATGCAGTGTTGAAAAGCTATTGATATAGGCATAAAAAAAACAGCAGGTCTAACCGGTTACCCTGATCCTGGTAACCAATTACCAGCGACCAAACTTGCCTTCCTAGGCTGAGCAATGAGGGTGTAACCGATTACACAAATTTGGATAACTGGTTACCACATTCAAAAATTCACTTTTTTGGCTTGGAATGTGGTGCTTTGGCCATGGTTTCGTGCTTCGACCCTATGCTTTGATAAATAGGCATAGAAATCCTTCTGTTTTTCATGTATTGATGCCTTGAAGACTCTTTTTGGAGATATAATTAATCATAGTCTCGAGACTTTTTGGGGATTTGGATATACCTGCAATAAATCCACAAATAAAAATGTCAATGCGTATGATGGGAATATAAATGCACATACTTATGCAAAAGGGCAAGAAGGTTAGACGGGGGAGGTCAAATTTTGAAGTACGACAGCTACATACAATGCCAAATAAAATACTACGACTTTCTCTTAAATATTGATAATATTGATGAATCTGATAAGGATTATGGTACGATAGGCTTAGTAATACATTAGTGATGGGAGCACCTATGTGTAAACACTCTAATAATCAAATTAATGACGACCGTAACGATGAGGTTTAGAATTTTAGAACATCGTGTATCTAAATATGAGCCCTTTGTTAGACTCTAGAATCTTCTTGGAGACATTTGTCTCGTAGAACAGGTGTCTTAAGATCATATGATGTACCTCTTATATTTGGCCACCTTCTAGTTTGCCTTGCTTCGTAAAACTTACGTGGTCCAATTTCCTAAGGGTTGGGTCTTGCCTGATGAGAACAATATATTTAGAGAAGACAAAATATGAGTTCATGCATATGAATAAATGATGGGGTAGGATTATGGTTGCTCAAAAAAATCTATAAAACTGAACAGAACCATAAAACTGAACTGAATCGCTACTAAATAATTGAACAATTCCTCTAATTAATGAACCGAATTGTTATTTGTTAAACATTTTAATAACCTAACCTAACTGCAGTTAACCAAACTAAAATTTACCAAACCCAATTGAACCAAATCAAAGCAAGTAACCACACTTTAAGTATATGATATTGGTATTTTAACTAAATTTTAGTTTCAGAAAAAATAGTTCTTTTAAGTTACAATAGTGTAAGAATTTCATTCCTAATAAAATAATCATAAAAAATGGCATACAAATAACATATTTATCAGTCTAATACAAACTCAAATATATAATTGCTAAATAGTATACAACTAACGTAATGCTGCGTTTGTATATTTGCTGGATAGATGCTAGGTGTATATTGCCTTTCATGTTCAAATCATACTTCCCTTGCTTCTTTGGTAGTGAAGAGATAATAACAGCCAAGCTAATATGGGATTGGTTTACTGCATAATGCAGTGCAGGGGATATTTTTGTGGGCGTCAATAGATGAGCTTAGTAGTTACTAATGTGGCAGGAAATTTTTAAGGGAGTGGTGAAACCTGGGTAACAATAATGTCAAACACTAAACAATAGGAGTATTGCTATATTGATGTTGGTTTTGCTGATTTAGATGTATGGGTAAAGGTAGGGAGAATTGAACAATAATTCAATTTTATGTTGTTGAATCGTCTAATTTATTTAAGGCTCTTGAGTATTAATTAGCTCACCATGTGGTTACAAACTTGGAAGTATTTCAAGTGTCTGTTCCGATGACTTAGGAAATTCTAATGTCTCCAATAAGTAATATAAGAGGCAAACAAATATCTGAATTCTAATGTTATAAAACCAACAAAGCCAAACATATTTAGATCAACAAGAATACGGAATACAATTTGAAAGGAAAAACAAAACAAAAAAACAGAGAGAGAAATACAAACGACCAATAGCCTATTTAAGCTCATCGTTTTAAGAATCTTGCAATTTCAAGCTATCCAGCTGTTCCAGCGCTTTAACCTGAGGTCAAGAAATGAAATAATAACAATTTAGCCATGAGTCAAATTTCACGTATCGGCACAATTTTAAATTGTGTCCCCCCATAAAAAGCATCCTGGAAGCATAACTTACACTATTTTGGCCAACATTTTAATCTTAGAAGAGAAAATGTTTGTGTTTTGTGCCACCGTATTAGTTTCTGCTTTGAGAATAAGAGCTTTAACAATACTTTAAGATGTGGTACCTCATAAAATTAAGTTTACTTGCATAGCTCTTTTGTAAAGCCATTCATTATACCATGACTCATCTCAAAAATTTCTACATGTTACCGATAGAATGCCTATTTTGGATTTAAAGCAAAATATTAAGATGAACCTTACTCGTCTAATTTGAGTATATGCAGAACTTCATCCAAGTTATACTCTATGACCAAAAATTTATAAATCCACCTTTCAGAGACTTATTCCAATTGCGCATACTTTCAATCTAAGCTTTTACGAATTAATCAATATATAATTTATGAATTGAAAGAAAAACCAGCAATACTAACTTGCTCTAATTTCAGATCAGCATTCTTGAGTGACCGCAGAAGATGAACTATACGGTATTGAAGTTTTTCGTTTTCTGCAGCAAGCACCTGAGCCTGAAAATCAAATCATTGTTAAGAGGATACCACCCGTTACAATAAATTAAATCTCTGTAAGTTGTAAATGAGTAAAACCTTTTGATTTTCTGAAACTAACTCAGCGTTTGCAGTTTCTAACTTTGACTGAAGATAATTAACAATTTTCAAGTGTTCCTCATTCCCAGTATCTACAACAGTTTAATATAAATGTAATTTAGGCTCATAATATCAGGAACCGACTTCGACTTCACTCTGAAAATTCTATTGATTTGTGTTGTGTACCTCAGCACCTACCTTTTTTACTATTGATGGCAGCTTCAAGTCTAGATAAGCGTTCCTAAAATATAAATTGGTAAGAAAATTAGTAAGAAACCCTTCAGTAATTTAATTATACAAAAAGCTTCAACCAAACTCATAAAAAAATCTTGAGTAACTTTCTCATACAAAAAGCTTCAACGAAACTCATAAAAAAATCTTGAGTATTCAACACAGGCTCTTGTATTATTCAAATTCAATTTCATAGTATAATCTAGGTTGGTTGATTCATACAATTTACATTCAAAATGTTGAAGCAGATAAATTTTGGTGTTATTATAAATTAGGGTAAGGAAAACATAAAGAAATGATACAAGAAAGTCATGAATTCATCAAACGAAAACGCGCGATTTCATAGCAGCATTAGAAAGGTCGAATCGGGAATGAAAATGGAAAAAGAAAACAAGAGTGTATTATTAACCTCGGCTTCAGAAGCTCTGCGATAGAAAGGCTTTAAGGTGAGTTCCAAGTCATTAATCTGAACGGACTCCACCATTATTCTCTTTCTCGATTCGTCTGCTTCTCTTCTCACAAACACGAACCGCCGCTTTACGCTCCTCCTCGCCTCGCCACTTCTAATTAAACTACACTTTCGAGTTCAGAAGAATTAAACTAAATTCTGAACAAATTATTTGTAGATTGGTGTAATTGTTTTTTCTTTATTATTTATATTTTAGTTTCAATGTAATCAACGTTTTTAAGTTTACCGATTATATAATTTAGATTAATGCTTTTATTTTATTTTATTTTAATATAAATTTTTTATAAATGAATTTTTTTAACCTGCATCCTTAGAACAAAAATTAGCATTAATCTATAATTTATTTATTTTACATTCAACCAAATTCAATGGGTTGAGTTTAATTTTGTAGAAAAGTGAAAATAAAATCATATTTTGGGATAACAATGAGACATGTTTGTCTCGTCTCGTTTAAATCTGCTATGCAAAAATAGGGATGGCAATTAATATAAAAGGGAGGACCGAAAACCTTAACTTGACACTTCAAAAAACGATGTGTGACTATGTGGGACACTTAAGACTTAAAGTGGCAAAAAAATATTATTAGCCCTGTTAAGGCTCGCATCTGCCAAAAAACGGAGTGAGGCGGGCAAAGTAGAGGGAAGGGTCGAAAGACTTTGTTCAACTCGCTAAAAAGACAGATTAAACAAGCGACTCCAACTTATTTTGTCACCCCCTAACTTTTATATTATCCTTTGATGAAAATCAAATTTACAAGAAATATTACTTACTACCTTTGGTTATTTTCATAAAAGACATATGGGTTATTTGGTTAAATATATAGACCAAATACATCAACTTTTGTTGACCCAAGTATCTCTTACAAAAGAACCAATTGAAGTACTCTAGACTAGACATTGGGTCATCCCATCAAAACTCAATTTAAATTATAAAACTCACTCTAATGGATTAGACCACCCTGGAACACCATCAACGAATATCTTGAGACAAGGGAGAAGAAACCAAAAGCATTAATTAAAAAACTGTTTAATGGTTATGATTCTCAACCTTAAAGTCAGTCTCCTAGAAGTCTGGTCAAATAGCTCCTAAACAAGCAAGAAGGTGTACATTATTCTACTATAAATACCTTTAACTTTTTCATTTATTTATCACCCATTTCATAGATCAATGGAGTTAGTTGCTTGTTCATCATATCTGAATCATCTTCTCTATCTAATTCGGATAAGTGGCGCACTGTTGCACCCCAAAATTTGCTCAACCTTTTCTTGCCTGATTTATGTTTCATTGCATTTCATTTGCATAGTTACATCATTCACATAGTTCTAATCATTTGCATATCATAGCATATCACTCATCCAACAGGGGATCAAGTGCGATTCTTATCAGAAGAAGCCTAGCAAGAGGTCTTATCCAAGTTTGAGAGATCATCCAAGCCATCAAGAAGTGATTTGAAGTCTTGAGAAGTTTGAGTGCCTACATGTGGGTTTTGCTCCTATCTTGAGGATTATTGAGTATCATCAGTGGGATGTGGAACATGGGATGTGAATCTGAGATGTGTATGGATCTCATGGAATGCCTAGAGGGCCATATTGAAGCTGAGACAAGTCATTGATTCAAGTACAAGAGCCACAGTTGAGGTGCAGTCAACTAGGGTTTCATCTGGGTCAACCCTAGGTCAATTGAGTAATTGAAGAGCATCAAAGCCTACTTTGAGGTCATGGGGTTCATGGAATGGTATGTTGATACGTGTGTGGTTTTGTGCCAAGGTTAAGCAAAGAAGAATCAAGGATGTGGGAAGTTGCTAAATTAGGGTTTCAGTGTAAAATCCCCAGTTTAATGCCTAACTTCAAAGCCACATAAGTCAAGATACAAGTTTCAAATGGATCTTTAGCTAACATGGAACTTGTAGAGAATCTCAATACCTTTAATTTGAGTACTAGAAGTCCTCAAGGGGATTTTTAGAACTCAAGTTATGGTCCAGACAAGTTACAAGTCATCAGATGAATGTGAAATTTATCTGTGAAAGTCACTTGACTTCCAAGCAACTTTTACCCTTCAAGGAGTTTTCAAATGGATTTTTTGTGAACATGAAATTTGTTCCTCTTGATCTTAGCTTTCCAAAAAGGTCTAGAACACCTCATTATGATTTGTGAAGCTCAAGTTATGATCTTTGCAAGCCAGGGGTATTTTGGGAAAGTGAGATTATAGGTCACTTTGGATTATAGGTCCATATCTCCAACTTGCAAGCTTCAAATAGAAATTTGTTCAACATGGAACTTGTTCAAAATGATGTTTTGGATGCAACCAAGTGATCATGAGAGTTTGGTTTGGCTTGTAACCAAAAGTCACTTGAAATGGCTTTGAAAGAGGGAAATTAAAGTGATTAAAAGGCCAAAAAAATGGAATTTATTGATATGTGGCCAAACAAGCTCATATTATAGGTCATTTTTATCAGAAATACCATTCTAAGAATGATGGCATTGGCACATTTTGCATTTGGGGTCATTTTCACTCATTTCCATTTTGTAACTTCATGTGGAAGTAACACATCAATTCACATCCTTTGGATCAGAAACAAGGGAGATACCATTTCCATTCATTTCAAATTATCATGAGATGAACAATGCAAGTGAATTCAAGCTACAGAACTGAGGCAAACCCGACTGTCACATATGAGAAATTCAAAGTGCATGAGAAATTCAATTTCTCATTTGGATGATTACAGAAACTTCTAGAGTGTTCTAACCAACTCTATATAACCAATGCATTGGATTCAGATCATTTTTTGGCCGGGGTTGAGGGAGAAATCAGAGTGAAGAATTGAAATTGCAAGGCTTGCATCAAGAATCGTGTTTTGCAATTGGTGAAGATTCAAGGCAAATCATTTGTTTCAGAAGCTTCAGAAGGAGTTGTTGAACGAATCTGGAGAAGATTGGAGCTTGAATCGAGCAATAACACCTTATGTTCATCCATTTTTTCCAGGTATGCATCTTTCAACCTATGGCTTAGAATAGAGATAATTGAGTAGGATTTGATAGGGGGATAGCTTAGTGATCATGCTTATATGGATTCTGGTACAAAAGTTTGAGGTTTAGTGACAAAACTAGGTGCATCACCATTTCTGTTGAGGAGTAGAACTCTTGGTTCTTGATGAGTTAAGCATGGTTGAATGGTGAGATTTGATCAGTGATGCGTGTAGTTCATGCTGGTACCATTAGTTTTAGGTTTTGGTTGATTCAAGATTTGAGCATCTTCTGAACTTACAATCAGATTTTTGATTAGAGGAAGAATCAATGGAATTGAAGATCATATTCATGTTCAGGGGATGAAAACGAGTAGGATTGGATGTTAAGTTTTATGGATTAGTGACGTTTTGCTTGGCCATCACCGGAGACGATGGTGGCGCTGCAGCTCAGGCCACCGTCCCTCCTTCCCTCTCATTTTCAAATTTCTGTGGAGAAGATGAACTGGGGTCGTTAGATTGGAGATTGACCTTGACTGGAATGAGGGATCCACGGCCACGATCGCGTGTGAGTTTCTGAAGAGAAGTGAGTTTGGCAAAACTCACCGTTTCATTTAATTATATTGGATGGGCTTAAGTGAAGTTTTGCTTTCTACACCCTGCATTAGGCCCGTGTCTTGATTACAACATAAAACCATTGCTATATGCCACAAACTTTTTCAATTTCCTTGCATTTCCCTGATTTCCTCTTATTTTGGATGGGCTTAAGTGAGTAATTGCCATCAACACCCCCCTGCATGCCCATGAGCGAATTACCACATAAAAATATTGCTATTTCACACGCAACTTTCATAATTTTCTTTATATTTCTTTTATTTTACATGTTTCATATAGTTTAGGATTTTAATCACCATAATTAGGAAAATTAACATTTTTAATCCAGATTTTTCCCCCTGACTCTTTAGAGAGTCTAGAATTTTAGGAATTTAATAGTTCAATTTTTCATGCATTTTATATTTTAATTGCATTTTTTGAAGTTTAATTGGTATTACTTTGAATATAGTTGATATGTCATCTTGCTGATTTTAGTATGGGAGATTGGTGTAGAATTTTTAGGTGATTCTTTTTAGGTTATTTAGCTTAGGGATGCATGTACCCTTAGTATTTTTCCCATTATTTTGTGGAGAAGTTTTAGGCCAGTTTGAACATTGGACTTTAAGTGGTGTAGATTTAGGGTTTTAAGATAGTACCCTTAGGTTTAGGGCATAGTTTTAGGATTTAATGATTGGTTAACCCCCTGGTTTTTGTATGGAGTGATTCTTAAGAGGTTTAGGAACCCTTAGATTTTTTTATAGGATTTTACAATCATTTTTGGTATTTTAATTAGAATTAGTTTTAGGACTAACTTCTAGGTGTTTCTAATGAACTAACTTGACTAGTTTAACCCAATAGTTCCCATTAGACTTAAGTGGTGGTGCCTTTGCTTTTGGATGAACATGAAGACCAACTTGAAGATGCTTTGGAGAGCTTGAAAGAGCATGGTGTTGCACCCTAAAATTTGCCCAACCTTATTCACTTGGTTTATGTTTCAATGTCATTAGCATTTGCATATAGAGTCATGTACATAGACTAACCATCTGCATAGCATAAGCATAGCAAGTCATTCAACAGGGGACCAATCATTATTCTCATCTCTAGAAGCCTATCAAGAGGTTATTATCCCAATTCAATCTCATTCAAGTCATCAGAAAAGAATTTGAAAGCAAAGAGTTCAGCAGATCAAGCCTTGAGCCCATCTCCTAGCTGAGGGTATCTGAGGATCAACAAGAGGGTTGTGAGCTGTGGAGTGAAGGCCTGGAGAGTATCTAGACATTATGAGAGACTTACAAAGTCATTTGGAGAAGGAGACCAGTCATTGATGAGAGCACAAGAGCTACAGTTGAAGACAGTCAACTAGGGTTTCATCTGGGTCAACCCTAGGTCAACCCTAGGTCAATTGACTGATTTAAGGGGCATTCAAGTCTATTGGAGAGATGTGGGGTTCATCATGGGA